TAAAGAAATGAAATAACATTAAAAGATTTCGTCATGCTAATACACTGTATTTCTCATATGACACTGTCATAATGCCTATTTCAACGGATATTGGACAAACATAAAAAGCTTGTCCAAAAACTCAACAACAGAAAGCAATACATGCTACAAGCAAAACCCGGGCTTCCCCGGTTCCTTCCTTCTTTAGAGCAAGGGCATAAGAACTTCTATCACATGTACAAATGACCTAAATCCTCAGCTGAGTACAACCTAGGACAGTTCCCCCGCACTGTGTCATAGGAGACACGAGGCGCCAAACTGGTCTCTCATTTCCAAGCGACAGAACATCAACATCAGACGTATCTTTTATATCCCAATATAACCTGTCCGGCCCAATAACCCCTCCAATGATATAAATATTGTCTCCCAGTCCAATCATCGCGAAACCAATCTTCCTACGGAACTCAGATGCTGAGACAACCAGCTTACTCGATTCTGTCTCCTGCTTGTAAATCTGCCCATGACTCATCACGTACAGCTTCCCCTTGACAACTGCCATGGGACCCTGGAGCCAACCGTAGTCATAAACTGTCCACTCCTGCTTAATATTGTCCAAAACTTGGACAGTCGATAGACCTTTGTGTAAGACGTGAACCTTACCTTGAATGACAACTCCCGTACAAGCAGAATTGTGAGTGCGGTGGAGATCCGGTATTGAAACCCATAAGTCCTTCTCCGGATCGTAGACTTCTGTTTTAGAGATTGATTTCCGGCAGTTAGTAAAGCCACCGGCAACCACTATCTTTCCATCCAACACACAACATGCAAACATGGCACGAGGGACGATCATGGATGCCCGGGGTTGCCATTGCCGATTTACAGGGTCATATGACCAGACCTCGTCAGTTGCAAAACTTCCATCCTGGTCACCGGTCAAAGGATCCATGGCATCACTTCCACCACCTAGCACAAAGAGTTTTCCTGCTGTAGAGACGACACCGAAGTGGGCGAGGTGCCTAATATTTGAGGGGAGAACTGGGAGAGTAATCCAGAGGTCATGACGAGGATCATAAAGCTGCCACAAATTGTCAGGGTCATATGCGCACACGCATATGAATTCCTCAGTTGATTTGATCTCCTGTCGGGCTTTGAAAAGTTCGGTGCTACGAATGGCAGCTCGCCAGGAACGTGAAACAAGCTCTAACTTGGGATGAACATAGAAGGGAACCCGTGCAAGGCACCTGATGACGACAGCGTCCGGAAGACCTTCAATAAGTCCAGACATAACTGTGTCACTAGTTTGTATTCAATTATTTCTTGGTTGAACAATCACGATCTGTTGCTAAGCTGGAATTGGCTTTGAAACCACAACTGAAGCATTACATCAACAAATATAAAAAATTAATATAACAGAATTGTTGAGAAAATGCTGAAACTGAAGACAATATGCATCTGTATTTAATGCACCTATCTCTGTGTTATATAAAACCCTCAAATGTCCAAAACGTGAAAAAAGAAATAAAAGATAAGATTCCACTCCATGGATGCAGCTCAAATGCAGTAGAATTACGCTGCCTGCTCCAAACCCTCAACATACATGACAGGTTCAATCAAAGGCCCGTTTCCCACTTTACAAGGTCCCGAAACTACAATCATCTTAACAGAAGCAGCATTACACAGATGCACACACATAGACATACACTGCTTTCAACCTGTTAAAAAAATATGGTTATTGGAATTCAGAAATTGCTAAACCCCTAGCAATTTCTAAACAAGTGCAGTCATTTCAAAGATTGACATGCTAATGATTTGGAACAGTAAGAAGAACTTTCTCTCTTTTACCATTATTATGAGGCACAAATATTCAAATAAAAATAATCCTTATAAAGACATTTTTATATGGATATTAGAAGCATTCTCTTTTCTTTTCCAGTACTTTGAATTAAAAAATTCTTTGTTATCTAGGAATCAAAGAGCACATGACATGCACTTTTTGAGATTTCGCCACCCTATAATTACTTGAACAATTTAATAGCTAGCTGGTTGGAATTTGGGGATCCAAATTGTTTGTTCAAGTTTATTATCCTTGTTTACATAGATGAACATATTTAGGCATTGATAATAGACCATAATACTACATGAAGTGTAAGTGTGAGCTCACGTGGGATTGAAAACAAGAGTGAGAGCATTAAACAAATATATATTCACCATCTGTGTGTGTATTCTAATGGTTTGTCCTAACATATTTGCAGCAGTCCTGTAGTTCTAGAGTGCCAGCAAATCCCAAAACTTTTCTTATGGTATGGATGAAGAAGTGAAGTATTAGCATATTATGGCTGGCAGTAGTATCATCTCTTTATCATTTTTGAAGCAATAGTAATAAGCTATAACTCAATTACAGTTATAAGTCTGTATCAACCAGATGTTATTTTATTCAGCCAGGTGTATACTTAATTCTATTTATGTTATGAGATAGCAACCGTCCAATAAAAAATTCCTAGAAGAGTTGCAGACGAGTTTTTTTATCTTGAAAAGTGAGTGATGATTTGTGAATCTATCTTTCCCCGTGAACTACGATGATCAACACATTTAGCCATTTTATACTTATATTCATGAAGTACAATAAGCAAAAATAAGTGTTACCTGCTTATACATTCATGCATATAATCAAGGAGAATATATATGCCTTCCAAATGAATCGAAAGGGACTGCCCTATCAGTAAGGGGAGAAGAATATCACATTTATATTCAAAACTAGCAAATACTGATCTAATCTCTTTATAAAACTAAGAAATATTGAAACAGGAACTGACAGCCATTCAACTGAATATAATGGATATGGTATAATTTAGAACAAGAACAAGGGAAAACAGTACAGCAACTCCCCAAGTTAAAGTTCATATATGCTTACAAAAACTATACAATATTTTTATTAAATTTATGCATGTATGGTTTTCAATCTTTTTTGTTGTGCACTTGTACTTACCTATCATTCTTTTATACTAGTCTTTCTTCTCTATCTCCTCCAAGAATTTGATTTGTCAGTTTCTAAAGATCCTACAGCCTTTCCTATATGATA